GTGTTCAGTAAGTCAGGAAACGGGTTTCTATTGTTCTCATTGTTTGTAACAATGAGAACAATAGAAACCCGTTTCCTGACTTACTGAACACTCTGTATACGCCTAACTCGTAATGTTACATTAAAGATATTTCTTTAAATAAATGTAATTTATAATTAACAATTTGCTAAATAATACAAAATTTAATATGCATAATATGATAAAAAATAAAATTTAACCATGCTATTTATATTTTGCTTCCCTTCATTATTAATATAATCTTCATTTTATTTTTAGACAAAAAATAAAAGTTTTTTAACAAACGTTTTTCCTGATAATTCTGTAAAAGAAGCGTCTAACTACTGTAGAAACCCATCAAAAGAACCTACGGGAGTTTGGTGTTATACTGGTGACTTAGCTGAAACAGATTTATGCGACGTGCCCAGTTGTGTAACTGACGATTCAGCAGCATTAATAGTAAACACAAACGCAGATAAAAAAATTCATTGGGTTTACGTGTTACCCGAATGGAGAGTATCTGGAATAAAAGTCCGGCTAAAGTATTGGATACCATTAATTTATGAAGGAATCACGATATACTTTAAAAGTCAAAATGACTCTTTGGGTTATTGTGGGCTAGAAATAGGAGCAGAAAAAAATGAAAAGCTTCAGTTTTTTCGAGTAGATAAATTTGGTAATAGAATTTCATCAGAAGATCAAGTTTATCCACATTTGTTAATGGCCAGTAAATGGCGAGAGTTTGTTTTCACTTTATTAGCCACTGGTTCAATTGAAATGCGATCTGTAGAAGATGAAGTAATTATTAAACAATGGGCGGAAGCATTTGAAAAAAATAACCGAATTACGTTTATTGGGATTTCAACGATCACTAATGGATACACTGGAGTGCGATTCATAAATTAAGGTTCACAAACTTTGTTTTTTTACACAAATTTTTTTTAACGAAATTATTAATGAAAAATAACAGTTAATATTTTTATACAATTAATACCATTAAAACTTCATGTTTTTTTTTGTAGATTGTTTAACTCATATTGTCGAATCAAAAGAATTTTCTGTTTATTTACCAATTAGATTTCAATCCAATGTCGGATTAAGTAGAATTGAAAACAAAATTGACTTTTATTTCAGACACAACGGTACATTTAAATAAAAAATATAGAAATGTTCAAGTCTTAAAAAAAATATTTTGTGATAAATACATAATTGTAATTCCAATTTAAAGAATGTATGTATTTTTTTAAATTTTAAGGTACAACACGTTTAGCACTAATACAACAACAATTAAACAAAGGCTACTTGATAGAAATTAAAAATCGCGTCATTGCTTTATTGTGGAGGTCAATGGATAAGAAACCGAAATTGTTAGAGTCAAATACATTTAATGTGAATATAATAAAAGAACATTCTTGGAGTCATATTGGATTGAGGTTGCCAATTTTTAGGAACTATATTATTGTTATTATTTTTATTATTGACTTTATACAGTTGGGACGAAAACACGTTGTGGATAAACTGCAGTGAAGGCTTACAAATGTGGACTTTATCAGGTAAATCCGCTCCGCTGTTGGTACGTTATTTTTCAGTCGCTAATCGTGGAGGTCAAACAACATGGACTGTGAATTGTAATCCACCAGACATCGATGGAACTCCCAGAAATGGTGGCTGGAGCGATTGGGGTGAGTGGGAACAATGCTCGAAAACATGTGGTACCGGCATGGGTATTCGATACAGACAATGCGATAATCCCAAACCAAACATGTTTGGAGAACCATGTGTTGGCCCCACTGAGTTTCCGGGTAAATGTAATGAACACGAGTGTGGACAGCTATCTAAAAAAACCATAAAAAATATACAGGATAGAATCAGACAAAAAACGTATAACTTGCACGCGGTCGAAGGCGAAAAACTAATTTTGGTGTGTAATAAGAACTCTGTTAATGCTGTAAAAGTGGACTTAGTAAATCCAACTTTTGATTGGATCAAAAATGGAAAACTTTTGGAAAAAGGGGGAAAAAATGTCAAAAATGATGGTTGTAAACTAGGTAAAAGATATTTATTAAAATTTTTTTAATAATTGATTGGCAGTATAATATTTTTACTTCATAGTTATTCATAAATGTACAAAAAGTGATTCAGGAGTTTATGCTTATATTGTTCAACCCCTTGATAGGCAAAAAGTCATTTTAAAAATAATTGCGGTGACTATAATGGAATCTCCCACTTATGCATATATTGGAGACATAATTCAAGTGCAATGCAATGCAATTACATTAGG